AGATATAATTTTGAAAAAATAAAGTGTAACTATCAAAACAGAATAAAAATAATAGTTTAAGTGTTAAACGTATAGTTTACCCTAAATTATTTTCACTAACATATCTAACAATTAACTGGTTCAATAGACAAAAATGAACACATGATTTTATGTTAGAAAAAAATATAAAAAATTTATTAATAAATTATTAATAAAAATAAAAATATATATAACATTTACATAGTCATAAACGAAAATTTATTACTCAGTTGGACGTGTAACAACTTCTTAACATTGACATAGTCATAAACCCATCAAATTTTTTCTTAATCTGAAATTATCACTTGCAACCCACCCAAAAACACATGGCAATAATCGAAGTTGAAGTTTATTCTGATTATAATTAAGGCTTAAGATTCAGAAAATACCTTTTTAGTAATTTAATTTTTTACTTTTGCTAACTATTTTTTTTTATTTTTTTGAATATCTGAATATTTTAAATTTAATTTATTTTTTATTTTTAAAAAATCAAATAAATCCTTAGACTTTTAAAACAAACCAATTTGGCCCTCGAACAAGACTAAAAAATTATTTTAATCCATCCGTCAATACATCAGTCACCGTAAACCACGTCGTCAGCATTGTGAACTGTCACTTTAACATCGTGAATTGTCACATCAACACTGTAATGATCAATGACGAAAAATATTTGTCAAAAAACTGCATTATGTTTATTTTTTGAATTGAAAGATCACAATGGATGTAAAAATAATTCAAGGGATGCTTATTGGGCCTACTTTCTTCCTCTTAGATCTGTTCTACTTTAAATCTGGCCTCTTAAAAGTGATGGCCTTCCACACATGTCGCCTGCATCAAATTCAACATCATTTGTAAAACCAACTCTGAGGTAACGTTTGGTTGGCATGAATCCCTTAGAATTGGTGGGAATTAAAATCTAATTTCACCACTTTCCCATGTTTGGTTCAAGTTTTCCAAGGGAATTGTAATCCCTCATGGCTTCAACTTTCCATCAAATGAGGGAAAGTGAATTCCATCTAAGAATGGATGGAATTTAATTCCCTTGTTGGAGGGAATTGAAATTTGACCATATTAGCCTCATCAATCTTTTGGTAACTTATTCATATATTGAATAATTTTTTTTTATTATTTCGGGTCGGGTCGAGTTTCTAATTCATATATTTGGGTCGGGTCAGGTGAAACTTTATTTTGATCGGGTCGGGTCGGTTTTTTTAAGTGTGATATTCAGGTCGAGTCGAGTTTGGGTTTAGGGTGAAAAATACCCGACCCGAAAATATATATAATTTTACCTTATATATTTAGGAATAATTATAATAATACCCCTCTATATGTAATTTTTTTCAATTAAGTCACTGTTTTTATTGAATAAAAATAATTTTTTTATTATTTCGGGTCGGGTCGTATTTTTAATTCATATATTCGGGTCGGGTCGGGTGAAACTTTATTTTGTTCAGGTCGGGTTTTTTAAGTGTGATATTCGGGTCGGGTTTTTTTAAGTGTGATATTCGGGTCGGGTCGGTTTTAGGGTGAAAAAACCCGACCCGAAAAAAATATATAATTTTACCTTATATATTTAGGAATAATTACAATAATACCCCTCTATATATAATTTTTTTCAATTAAGTCAATGTTTTTATTGAATAAAAATAATTTTTTTATTATTTCGTGTCATGTCGGGTTGGGTTTCTAATTCATATATTGAATAAAAATAGTTTTTGGTATATTTTTTGGTAACTAATTAACATACTCCGATTGGAATGTATCGAAATATTGCTCTATTTTTTGGTAACTTATTAACATATTTTGATTGCAATGATTTTAACTTATTATGTTTATTAGCATGATTTTTATAATTTATTGAAATAAATAATCAATCAATAAAATGAAAATTTAATATTTTTTTAATTTTTATATTATATTACTACATGTAAGTTGTAAAACAAACTAAAATAAATCAAAAAAAATAAGGGCAATTATGTCATTTTACATTATTAAAATCAAATTCATCTGACATGTCTGCGAACCAAACAGAATATAGAATTGGATTCCAATTTCATTTCCTGCCAACCAACAGAATATGAAATTGGATTTCAATTCCTGACAGATTCCAATTCATTCACAGATTCCAATTCCCTCAGAAACATTCCAGAGAACCAAACGCCACCTAAATTTCAACCATATCTTCCCTCCAATTTGCCATAAAATTTCAAAATTTTAAATATAATCAATATGAACTCGAAACAGTTCTAAAATAAAATCAATTTAAAATTAAAATAATTAAAATAAATATTTTAAAATTATTTAAATCTATAATATTTTGATTCGAAAATCAAACCTCAAACATAAATAAAAAAAAAAATTCCAACTTAATCTGATTGGTCTTGCATCAATTATTGATATTTTCATTCACACCTGAATTTATTAGTTCTAGCAATAATTGATGTTTTGAATTTTTTATTTCTAGCAATGTTTCGATTAAAAAACATTTGCTATTTTTTTTTGTTACCCTCTCGGTTCCAAGGTTTTCCTTTGACTAATCCGGATCGATTCGTGTCGCATGCCTGACTTTGGTGGGTGAGTCTCCCAGTAAAAATTTTCTGACTACACAAAATTTGAAACTGAGACCTTGTTTAAACGGATTTTTTATATGAAATGGATGCTATTCTTCATAATTAGAGCCAGATCAATGGAAGTATACAATTCATAGTACACATTCGATTGAAAATTAATTTAATATTTATATAACATCGATCGCAAATATTATATATATAATTAATAATGAAATTTTAATACAATACTTAAATAATACATAATTTGAATATTGTGCACTTAAATACGTTTAAACTTATGACATCTAGAATGTTTCATCAATAATAATACTTATCAAATTAAGAGTCAATCATTCTTTGTTGAAATTTTTAAAACCAAACAAATAAATAAATACGACTCAAGTATAATTAAACCTAAGAAAACAACTGTGAGATACTAACCACTTTACTTTATTCACAAAGAAAGCACACCACATATATAATCAATGAATGATTAATGAATTATGATGTTCGCGAATGAAAAAAATTAAGTTGAGAGAGTCGTTCTAGTCTCTAATGTATCTAATGCGGATTAATCAATCATATTTGTGATTATAAAATAAAAAAAAATGATTAAAGAAAGCAAAAAAAAAAAGGCCTACATTTTAGACTAGTTGTAAGATATATCAAATCGAATTGCATCGATTGAATCATTATAGATTAAGTCAAATCTAAATTTTAATATTTTTAAGTTAATCGTTTGTTCGGATGAGAGATTAATTTTTTTTTGGGTTGAATAATTAAGGACGATTCTGATCACTCCAAATTTAAATTATTTATTTGAATTATTATTAATATCTCATATTCGAACATTGATGAGTATTAGCAAAATAGTTTGGGATCTAAATGTAATTCTAATAATGCATAGGAAGATGATTCCAATGCCCAAAGTCTAAACCCTACGAAGAAACTTTACTAGTCTTAAATGAAATCTGTAGGACCACCCTATATCAAGTTGCATGGTGGTGGACGCAGAAAGGAAGTGGATTAGTTGCCATGTCTCTTACTCTCAACTACATAAACAGTTGTAAAAATCCAACACAAAACGGATGTGAAAAGTGGTGTGAGAATTAGTACCAAGCTTAGCCCCAACTTGGGTTATATCTAAGAATGCCACTAACTAGGGGGCGACAACCCTTCCCACCTAACAAATAACTCTACCTTTGGTTGTCAAATGTTTCGAGTAATCAAAATAGATATATATGTCATATATACGGGGAATATTTGATGTATTGATGATATATATAATTTATACATCGTAATTGAATAAGATAATGATATACATTTGAAATAAACTTAAATAAATTTGATTTTAATGTTTTATAATAATATACACTACAGCAAAATTGTACATTTGTGACGTTTTTTTTACCTATAGCGGCGTTTTTAAGCGCTGCAAAAAACACCTGCGGCGCTATGACAAACGCCGCTGAAAATAGCGTCGCTAAAGTTCGCGGAGTTTGGTAACAAAAAACGCCGCAATAGGTAACGATATATAGCGGCGTTTGTCCAACAAACGCCGCAATAGGTGTTGAGATTTAGCGGAGTTTTTCCCACAAACGCCGCAATAGGTGTTGAGATTTAGCGGCGTTTTTCCCACAAACGCCGTAAAAGATCTGGTATATAGCGGCGTTTTTTAGAACAAACGCCACAAAAGGTCATATCTATAGCGGCGTTTTAAGATACAAACGCCGCTAATTACCTCTCTATAGCTAAAAGAAATTGATTTTGCAAATTAAAACTAATTTGTCAAATGTTGTTTTCTACTCTTTTATTACCTAAATTTAACCTGTAGCATTTTCCAATTAGCTTGACATCCATAACAACAAACTTAAAATCCATAACAAGAAAAATGAAATCCATATTAATAAATCAAAGTTTACATTAACGTAAAATATAATGTAGTTCAACATTATTAACTATAATAAACAATAATATCTAAGATATTTTGCTTCTAATCTTACACATTCTTCAAAACTCTTCGTCACAATGAGGCGCTTAAATTCAAAGAGATAAATCCAGTTTATATGGGAAAACAATGATGCAGAGCTAGTATCGTCCTGTCATTTCTTGCACAAATATTTTGCTTCATGAGGTCTTACTCCAATTGACATGCCACTTGAAAAGGCCCCATCCATGGCAATGCAAACCCGATCTCTAGTTTCATATCCAAATAAATCATCAGTTTATATGAAAATCCATTATATCTTACGTTAAAAAAGTTAACAACACATTTCTGCACGGTCAGTCCCAGCAGTCAACAACTCTATGGCATGGGCAACCATCATGATGATAAGCAAAATATAGAGATAGATCTTAATAACTGTGCAGAAACATCCAAGCTTGAATTTCATGATAACTTCTAACAGCTTATCGGACCAAACATATTTTAAATCAATAGCACCCAGAAAAAGGCTCCAAAACTGCATTCCTAACAAACAGAAAGATATAAAGATGGAAATATGACAGCTTACCAAGGACCAAATCCTTTCAAGCATTCTGCTAAAACAACCTGAGAACAGACAAAAGCACAATCTAACTTAAAGATAAGGAAGCAAAAAGAGAATTTAACGGAGATTGTAAATTAATATTTTATCCCCATTTGTCACCTCAGTATTTTCCCCAAGAATTTCAATTATAACCCCATCAACTTATGTGCAGAGGCCATTGGTTTCAATTGAATGCTTTTCTATGCCAAACTGTACATGCTTTCTAACCCCTAACAGAAGAAAATAAATAAACGAGATATGTAATACAAGGAAAGTACATACCACTGTGAATGACCTGATGTATAACAAGTGAGAAATATACAATTCTATTCAATGGCATGTTGCAGAGCAGAGACTATTAGCATTACCCAACATTATTTGTAACATACAGTAACCTACAAAACATCCGAGGAATAATAAAAAGGGAGTCGGCCGATGCTTTTTAACAATAAATTTGGTATTTGTTTGCGCAATTGAATTTACCCTAGTTTCAAAAATGTATTGGAGCTTTCGTAGTCGTGTCGATTACCGTTGGAAGTACAAACGTTGGTCACCGACTCCGACGAGTGACCTTCCTCAAAGATGTTCTCCAAGTCACCGGCAACTTGTTTTCGACCCTCGGATATCTGCAATACCTGCAGTGATGAAAGCTTGTAGCCTATTACCTATACTTATAAATATAATAACATGGAATAGTATTATGTACGAGAAGGAAAAGTCATACTTGTTGCTTCAATCGTTCATTTTCTTCCATCAATTCAACTTCCTGCAATGCATGCATCAAAACAGTCTTATGTTTGTTCTTTAGTATCTTTTTAATTCCTCCTTTTTGACTGCTATTTTGTATGTTTATGTACTGACCTTTCTTTGAATGTCACTGATTTCTCTCATAATCCTCTGACCCTAAAATACATTAATAATTAGAGCTAATTAAGTTCATATGTTTAATCATTGATTAAGACTTGTACAGAAAAAGTAAGAACCTTTTTCTCTATCACGCGACTCAACCCAACTTCCAAAATTTTCTCTAGCTGTTGTAGTTCTTCAACATTTAATCCTTGGAGATCCTCGCCCCTCATTTGCCTGTTTTAATGTAGAATCCACTTTATATATGCATATATCCTCATGAATAATATGAATAAAATTGATAAAAAAAAAGATCATACCTCAGTTGATGACTTCTCTCTGCTATTTCCATTGTTAGCATGGACTGGTTGCTGTCTTCTACGAGCTACAGACAAGAAACACCCTTCTCAATAATTATTGAAATTACAGAAGATAGAGATAAAATATCCTTACTCTTCTAAAAATGGAATTTCATCAATAAAATTGATCACAACATTAAACCTCAACAAATGATTCAATAATAATCAATTATAAAGTGCAACAATTCAGGCATCAGTAAAACAAATAAGATACTGGAAAATAATCATCCCAACTCAGACTCTTTTGAAAAGTTAAAAATGCTATAAAACACTAGAGCCTGCCATTTAGAAATCCACTCTCAATAAAAGCTTAAAAAAAAGCACTAGGTTAATAAGTAACTCAGTCATCAAGCCGTATGGTCAACCAACAAACATAGTTACACTAGAAAAAAGAAATGCAAGAGAACTTCAATCAAACTTATTTTTGCACCAATGACCTTACAAGAAAAGGCAATAATCAAATGCACCTAGCTTAAAAATATCATTGGTGTTTTTGTTGTCTAGCATTGCATCTTAGCATGCACCTAGACAACACTGCCCACACCTTAAGTAAGCCCTCCTACTTGAGATTTTAACTTGCATGTAAAATTTAGAGTTGAATGCTGATATACTTTATGCAACACACAATAAGCAAAATTTGCATCCAAATATTGGAGAAGACTTAACCTTTGCCAAAGAGTAATTTTCATAATTGTAATCCTTTAAAAAAAACATGTTCTCATTACTATGTATGGTTGCAAATTTTAAATATGATTTTCCATCTCAAAACACCAGTGCATACCATGATAGCAGAAACTTTAAAGTGAGGAAAGAAAAACTAAATTAATTATTAAGCAAGACTAAGCACCAACAGGTACAGAGATCCATATAAAGCGAGCACCAACAGGTATACACATCCATGTAAAGCACCAACAGTGAATTAACCTTTTTTGCTTCTCTTGATGCAGTGAATTAACGACACCTGTCAATTTAGCAAGAGTATCATTGCTGATGTTTTTTGATTGACCTTTTGCAGGATAAATCAGGCTATAATGAATGTCGCTAACTCTCTTCGAGAAATCAAAGGACATCACCACTGACAGCTCATGAATCATACTAATAGATGGAGCAGAGATAAAGTGACAAACCTTCTTCCATTTTGTAATAAGATTACGGTCAATATATCCTTGGTCCAAGCAGAACTCATACAATTCCTTGGATATTTCCTTCCTGAGGTGGTAAATGTCGAAAATATATCGACTCTTTTGATAGGCAATTTTGAAAATGGGCCACAACATCTCACATTTTCTCTTACCATCGTGAGGATCATTCTCAGCTATCCCATTAGTTAACAAATTAGTTCATAACAACAATGATAAGAGTTTCAATAATCAAAGTAGAACGCATACATGATGCGGAAAAACCCTACCTTCTCTCATCTTTGCTTGTATAGCTCATGGAGTGTTGGTTCAATCAATTCCCATCCTTCTGGATATTTTACACGGTTCGTCTTCCCTTTCGGCATTGTTCTACCTATCAACACCACAAAAGGTCAATTAAATTTTACATTAACAGAATATTACTGAGAATTTCATAATTCCTAAGGTTATAAAATGTAATGAACTAAAAGAATAAACTAAGAGAAATTGGTGCATCAGAGGAACATACTAGGAACATTAGAAGAAATGAAGAACGACAGAGAAGAAACAACAAACATTTCATTTCATATTCTTATCATATTTATCCCTTAACCATAAACATAGAATCGGGTAAAACCCTAATTTAGTTTTCTTAAAAGAATTAAAGAATTCTATACAACCAAAAAGAAGGGAGGTCGAAACTCCTCCGCAACATTTTGCCAGATACAGCACAAACCCATTTCCAGTGTGATTAAGTATGCTCCCAGGGTTATTAACATGGTTGTCTGGTGTTATTAACACATGGTCCCGTTTGTAAACACTACCAGTGAACCCTAATTTAATTTTAAAAGTAAAACAATTTATATTCACTTTTAGTCTTCAACTATACAAAATTAATCAGCAGAAACTAATATATAAACTAACCTTGGAGATGAGAAGGAGAGAGAGAAAGATTTAGTGGAAGTAGCAGCTTGGTCCAATATGGAAGGGACGGACCCAATATTTGATTGAACAAGCCGGAGAACGCAGAGGAAATAAAAGAAAATCAAAACAAAACACGCACAAAGAAGAACCCAATAAAGATCTGGATGAAATCACGACTGTTGGACTGAAATTGAACTGTTAATCCAATGGGTTCAAGAGATATTTAAAATGGGTATTCCAGAAATCACGACTGTTGGAATGAAAAAAAATGAAAAAAAACCCAGATAAACAGACAAACTTGTAAAACGTGGAGAAGGCGAATGATGTAGGGGTGACTAATAGAGGAGAGAAATCACATAAAACAATTTGGAAAATGAGATGAAGCACTCTTCGGCAACTACCAGTAGATGGGTTTGGGTAAACAGCGAGAATGAAAAAAATAGACGAAGGGGAAAAATTAAAGAGGCTTAAATGGGTGGGACTTAGAAACTGTACATTTGCGGCGTTTGTAAATAGAAACGCCACTAATGTACTAATAAATTACGGCGTTTATTCAAACACGCCGCTAAAATACTACGTTTTAGCAGCGTTTGTTGGGAAACGCCACTAAAATACGAGTATTTAGTAGCGTTTTTGCTTAAAACGCCATTAAAGTATTACGTTTTAGCGGCGTTTATTGGAAAACGCCAATAAAGTACTAGGTTTCATCGACATTTTTCTAAAAACGCCACGATATATGTACCATATTGCGTCATTTTTCTAAAAACGAGACTAAAGAACTATTCTATGGCGGCGTTTGTTTACAAACGCCACTAAAGTACTGATCGTTAGCGGCGTTTATCAAATAAATGCCACTAAAGTACGAATTTTAGCGGCGTTTTTTTAGAAAGCCGTTAATGTTACAATTTAGTGGCGTTTTAAATATAAACGCCATGATATGTACAATTTTAGTTGCGTTTTCTTTGAAAACGCCGCGACAAACGCCGCTATATACCTATTTTGCTGTAGTGATATTAATATGTTTTTTAGAAATTCATAAAATTATATAATGTATGAAATATTGATCTTACATTATAAGTGAATGGTGATCATTTGTGATGAAGATGGAGCATTTAAGGCAGCTTCCTCCCCCATCGAATCAACTCCCTTGGTTGGTGCGAAATAAATGCATGGGACTCCATTCAATTACTCGTATTGTTGCTCACCATTTTTTTTGTACATGACATTAACGCCATTAATCAACTAAATATAATAAGTGTAAATTACAAATTTCATCACTCAATTTTCTTCTTATTCTTGGTTTGGTCTTTAAAATTTTAAAAAATTTGATTTACTCATATTTTGGTCATTTCATCGTTAAATACTTAAAAACGTTATGAAATTGATTCAAAACTTTTTCCATTTTTGTGGGAAAAAACCTTAATTTTAAATTCCCTTTTAATTTTCTTGACGATGAAATATCTTTTTCAAAGTCCCAATAGTGGAGAGGTGAAGGATGAAGTGAGTTGTATATCTTAATGTTGGATATTGTAGATTAGAGTGGTTTATAATTTCATTAGTTTATGATTTATTGTTGAGTTTTATTAGTTTTAGAGTGATTTAGCCAAAATCTAAATCGATAGAGTGGTAAGAGAGAATGAGAAAAGTTCATCAATATTTTAAATAGTAAGATAGAATGAGACGAGTTCGTCGATATTTCAAAGAGGAAATAGACAGTTCATCTCATGTCGAATCAAGAGAGAAGGATTTCGAGGGAAAATGTATCACGCTGATTGTATTCAATCTTCCAGAAACTCTTCATTTTAAGGGGCTTTGGCTTTTTTTTTTGTTGACAAATATGGTGAGGTTGTTGATTCTTTCATTCCCAAAAAGAGAAGCAAGGGAGGTAGCAGATTTGGTTTTGTTCGTTTTACTAGTATGGATGGAGAGAGAAGGGCTATTGACTGTATAGATGGCTCTTCTATTCAAGGTCATAAAGTTCTGGTTTTCTTAGCAAGATTTCATCCTCGAGACTCCTTTTGGAGGAAGAAACTTATTGACCCGCAGCTTTCGGAGGTAAAGGGAAGGAGTGAGACTGACCTTCGTTTGGAGAAACTCACAGAAGGTTCCATTGATGAAGAAAAGCTCCTGGTTCTCAAAGACAGCCTTGTGGGTTGGTGCAGAAAATTCATTAAGATAAACGATTTGGTAACTTGGATGCACAATAAAGGAATTATTGGTCCGACTATTATGAGACTTAGTGAGTTAGCAGTCATTATTTTTGAAGATGAAGGGAGCAGGGATAGGGTTCTAAAAAAATCAGATGCAGGTGTTGGAAATTTGTTTTGAGAAGGTCGAAGTTTGGTCTGAAAATTTGCAGTGCAATAGCCGACGTGCATGGCTTTCGTGTAAAGGGCTTCCACCGTTTGAGTGGAACCATTCGACCTTTCAAAGCATTGCCAAGAAATGGGGTGAGCTCATTGCTGTCGAGGAAAGGACTGTAAATCCCGGTTCTTTTGACAGGGCATTATTTCAAATCGTTACAGACTGTCAGTCCCTAGTGGAAGAGAGTTTCGAGCTTAAAGTAGGAGAAAGGGTGTTTTCAGTTTGTATTTCTGAATTCGAACCTTGATTTTCTCCAGTTTCTATTTGGGAAGATCCACCATCGATGAAAGGATTGGAGTCTCATTCTTCACCGGTTGCCAATGTAGCATTGGACAAAGTGTCTCGGCTATTGACGCTAATTGCAGTGTTGAAGTAGGTTCTTCATTGATGGAGTTGAATCGTCAGATTGTTGAGGTTTCTGGTGCTTCCATGGCTGAGGTAGATGAAAGGGCGACTGAGATCGTTCAAAGGGAAGCTTTGGTCGACCCAAATTCTGGTTGCGTGCTTGAGTTGTGCCAGCTGGAAATTATGAACGATAATCATTGTAATCTGCATGGAGAACGCAGCAGCACGTTAATGCAAGTGGTTGGCAATGGTGAAGCTTTTTGTGGAGGTTTAATTGCTAATGAAAGTGGGGCCCATGGTGCAAATGATTTTCCATGCAATTTTTGGAGGGAGGGCGCAGTGGATGGTTCTCCACGTTGGGAATTTCAAGTGTTGACTGTGTTGGGGTTGGTATCCAAAGAAGCTGCAGCCGAGGTAATTAATTAGATTGAATTGATTGGGTCATCAGTTGATCGTGTAGATGAGGTCTTATCAAATCTGGGTTGTAGGCAAGCCTTTGAGGATGTTAGTAATATGGTTTAGGGCATTTAGAAATTGAGTCTAATCTTAATGATTCAACTTCTATTAGAAGGTTTAGCTCTAAAGTAATTTCGAAGAAGAAATTTAAATCAACGTTGGAAAACAAGTCTTTTTGGGTAGCCGTAAGAAAAAGAAGAGATAAAGCCGTGAAGAAACAAAGTTCGTAGGTTCGGGTCGAATCTAGCTAAATGGTTAATGCTTCTGTGTACGATTCAGATATCATCAACCGGAAAATTAATCCTTAAGGAAGCTGAGAAAGCAGGGGATCTTGGTAAGAATCTTGGTTTTCAAATTGAAGGGGATGAGCGAGAAGTTATTCAAGAGTAAATTGAAAGTTTAGAACTAAATTGAAAATTTTTAACTGTGATAACCAAAATATAAGTGAAAAGAAAGTTAAGTGATGAAATATATAATTTATCTAAATATTAAAATAATAATAATAACAATAATATCAATTAATCTAAAATTATAATAATTATAAAACAGTAAAAATACTGATTAGATTTTAAGAAAAAAAAGGTGAAAATAGGATTGATGGAAGACAAGTCATATGATTGGAGGGAATAAAAGATATGAGAACGTGCATGGCATTGGCAATGGCGCTAATCAGTGCGCCATCTTTCATTGTGTTTGGGACACCCTCACACAAGGCAAAATGTTATTTTCAGCTCAGCCCCCACACTCTTTTTTTAACCTCCAAATACAAAATTTTAATATTTATGATTTTTTATAAGATTATAATTTAATATTTTATTTGTAAGGAAAAACATTTTAAGAATTTTGTTACTAAAATTTAATGATTTTTTATTTATATTTATTTGGTA